AGTAGGACAAAGAAAGGAAGTCAGTCAATAAAGGGTGTAGTATCAAGCAAGCTACCATTACTAATTACTGGAGTATAGTCTAGTCCCATGGGAAAACTCAGAAATGGTGAGAAAGAGAGGGCTGAATGAAGTTAGCCTATCTGTGGACCTGAAAGAATTGGGGTATAGAATAAATCCTTCATCAAATAAGTGCAGCTAGCTTGGGAAACTGTTCTTAGGATTTGCCAATTTTCCCTGACCACACAAACACAGAATTGCCTTCTTCAATTTAGGAAAAAGCTTTTAGGTAGAAAAATGAATATTGAAGTAAGTAGCAAAGGCCAGAAAGACATGAGCAAGAATCAACAAGGTCTGCTACTCAATATCAGATAGAAAGGTCCTCTGCCTAATGAATAAAGTTAGGAAATTCAGAGGAAATAATGCCTGCAAAGAAACTTTATAAAGCAGGAATTTAATATGAAGTCTTGAGGGTTTTTTTTAATTCTGAAAATACATTTTTATCTCTTTCATACAACCAACAACAGTGTTATTATGAGTATGTCAGAGATTCAAATATTTATTGGATGAATTTTTAATATCTGAACATACTATTTTTCTACAGTTGGTATTGTTTTTAAGTTACCATTAAGAGAAATAACTTTGCTAATATCTGAATTTTTCATCTGAACAATTTAAAGTATCATGGTCCTGTTCCTTTGTGAAACATTTTTCATAAAATCTAGATAAATGTAAAGAAATCTCTTGCCTACCTAATAACCATTCACCTTTTTTTTGTGTGTGTGCCAGTCCTGGGCTTGAGATCTGGGGCCTAGGAGATGTCCACTTGAACCACAGCTCCACTTCTGGCTTTGCATATTTAATTGGAGATAGAGAGTCTCTTGGACTTTGCTGCCCAAACTGACTTGGAACCATGATCCTCAGATCTCAATCTCCTGAGTAGCTAGGGTTACTGGCATGGCTTACATGCTAGTAGGATTACACCAGTGCCCTGCTGTCCCCACTTTTTGGTAGCTGAGATGACTGATATGTACCACCATACCCAGCCTCTTTGTTGCTGAGATAGGGAGGAAGTCTCCATAACCTTTTGTCTTGAACCATGATATTCCCAATCTCTACTAGGCAGATTACAGATGTGACTCACCGTGTGAGGATCTTTTAAAATAGCATTTCTTTTTTTGTATAGCAACGCCAAAACAAGTCATTTTTTTTTACTGGAGTATATTATTTGGAGATAGCAACTTCTCAGAAAACTAGCCACTTTTAATTCTAATATTTCTGCATTCCATTTTGACCAGAGGTGAAACATGGTTGCTGACTGCAATGGCATGCTAATAATGTCTGCATCTTTCTCAGTGGGCGTAGCTGGATTACTCTCCCTTTCTTGTGGACAATCTCTGCAGGAGCCTGACCAGGTGGAAACTTACGCCAAGCATCCCAGGATTCCTTTGGAACTGCCCAGATCCCATAACTTATATTCTTTATTCCTGTAGAACCAGCATCTGTTGGGCACGAGGTAGGCCTGATGCTGGCAAGAGCAGCCAGTTCCTGGACCTGCTTTGAACCATGGCTACACTGACTGTACTTCACCAGAAAGCCAGAATCCCAGGAGGCACTGGGCAGTGAGCACTTGGGTCCTTCCCTGAAATAATTTCTACCCTAGAAGGCATATGAATAAGGTGATTTTTGAAATAATAGCCTCTCAGTTTTCTTAGATGTCCCCTGTACCTCTTCCTCATTGTCCTGTACAAAAAGCTGCCTTCTTTTATCCATGGTGATACTTTGAGCCAGCACTGTTAGAAGCTTCGTGACTCCTTCCTAGTCAGACTGTAAATGTTCCAAATCTTTCCGTTCTATTCCTATTTCTTCCAAACTCTGTAAATCTGACTAAATCTAAGCAATAATGCCTAGGCTGTTAAAGGAATGATATGCTTTCCTGCTTTGAAATGTTGTCAAATAAATTAGCCCATCATCTGCAATTAGGACTTCCTAAAATCCCAGAGGGCCTGGACCCAATGTGGCCAAGGTCAGATATCACAAGGACGACTTGTCTTGATCTGTCAGAATCCCTTGTAGTATTACTATTAGTACTCCAGACTTTTTCTGGCTACACTGTCAAACTCTTCCAGCCTCTGCTCATCACCCAGTTCCAGATCAGACTCCTCAAAAAATATTTTCTGGGCTGGGAAGGTGGCTCAGTGGTAGAGCGCTTGCCTTGCATGCCTGAGGCCCTGGGTTCGTATTCCCCAGCACCACATAAGCAAAAAGAAAAAAAGCCAGAAGTGGCGCTGTGGCTCCAGTGGTAGAGCACTAGCCTTGAGCTGAAGAGCTGAGGGACAGTGCCCAGGCCCAGAGTTCAGGCCCCACGACTGGACCCAATATATATATATATATATACATACATTTTTTTTTTCTGTAGGAGCACATTTTCTGTTGCTGTATTGAAATAATTAAGGCTGAGTACCTTACGAAAAATGATTTGGCTACAGTCTGGAGGGTCAAGAGCATGGCATAAGCATCGCTCTGCTCTGGTGAGAACCTGATCGCAGTACAATGGCAGGAGCCATTCCACAGTAAGAAAGGAAGCAAGAGAACAGCCTGTGTTATGGTTTTTATAAGAACTGGCAGAACTGACTCCCATGGCAACTCCCCCAGTGACCTCACACTAGGCTCCACCTCTTAAAGGTACCACCAAACACTGCACTGGAGACCAGTCAATTATAAAAACATTCACACCCATGACAGTAGGCTATCTCTGGAATATCCAAAAGTAGATTATATAGAAAAGTATTTGTAACATACTTAGATTAAAAACGAAATGGAAGAACCACAGTGTAAAGCCTCATTTTATTCTGGTCTACTAATAATAAACCCAGGCAACTGAAACTCTGGGCAGAAAGGTTTAAGAGGATTTCATCCAATCCAGTTAGAAGAAATGTCCCAAAAATTCTTGGTTTGGTCCTGGGAATTTTATGCTATGTACAATTTCTTTTTGAGGACCAAAAGCATTATTTAATCATGCATGAATTATTTTGTGCCTAGAGCAGGTTCCAACATTATGTGAAACTACATCTGCTTTTTTAAAAATAATGCTTCACACCGTGAACAAAATCATGACAAGATGAGCAAAATGTTAGACCATGAATACTATCAGAGTGCCAATGTTCTTTAAGATATACAGTACTAGTCGAGCTGAATACCAATGGCTCACACCTATACTCCTAAACTACTTAGGAGTCTGAGATCAAGAACATCCAGGTTCTTGGCCACTGGGGGTGGTAAACACTCATCTCTAATTAACCACCAAAAAAAAGAAAAACAACCAAAAGTGGACCTGAGGTTCAAATGGTAGAACACTAGACTTGAGCACAAATGATCGGGGCAGAGTCCCAGGACTGGCACCAAAACAAAAATAACCTACTAAAGCTGTGTGCAGTGGTTCAAGCCTGTAATTCTAGCTACTTGGGGGTCCTAATCAGAGGGTCTGTGTTTGGAGGTCAGCCCAAGCCAAAAGAAACTCGAGACTCCAACTCCACCAAGGCAGGGCAGAGTGTGAGGGAAGCTCACAGCCTGGGCCCAGTAGTGTGCTTGGCCGCCCAGCAACGCAGTCCTGCAAACTTGTTTTTTCTTTTAAACAAGAGCAATGTTTAAGAGTTTTTTAAAGGTCCAGCACTGGTAGCTCAGGCCTGTAATCTTGAGACCTGAGGATCAGCGCTCCACAGTTCGAAGCCAGCCCAGGCAGGAAAGTGACGCTGTGGCTCCAAAAAAGCCCAAGAAGAGCGCCCTGAACTCAAGGCGTCTCACGACCCCACACAGCTTTTTTATTTTTTTTTCTTTTTGAAAACAGAACCATGTAAGAATTATAACACTAAAAACTACAAAGTACAAGCCCTGGGGGGACTTGGGGTGGCTTTGAAATCGTTTCCGACTAAAACACAGGGTACAAGAAACCATCCACAGGTGAGGGAAGGAGACGCATAATTAGAACTAAACAGCCCTGGAGGCCTGCCGGGACACCGGAGGAAAGCCTGCATCCCCGGGAGCGGGGTGGGCAGAAAACAAAGACCGACGCGGAGTCTCCACGGCCCAGGATGTCAGCGCGGACTAGATCGCCTCCGGGCGTTTCCCCTGTCCGGGGCTGAAACGCGCCGGTGACCGGGTGGGCGTGGGTTCCGCGTGGGCCGCACGGCAAACGCATTTTTAAAAGGCTATCGCTCCATCTACCTCACCTAAAAGAACTTGGACACCGGCGCCGCCTGCACGCTCCGCCGGGGAGGTGCGGGCTCCCGCGTCCCACCGGCCGCCGCCCCCCAGCGCACGCACACACGCCGACGCGGGCGCACACACGTACACACACGCCCCCCCCCCCGCAACCTCGCACGCACGGGCGTGTGCGCGACTCAGGAAGGGCGCCGCGCCTCCCGCTCGGCACCCCGTGGAGCTGCAAGTTTCCCTAGGAGCCCGGGACCGCACTCGGGGCTCCCTGGTAAACATCAGACCCCGCCCTCCCGCCCGCCCTCCCCAGATCGTGGAGGGGAGAGACGGAGTGGCGGCCGGCCGGGGCCCGGAGACGTCCGCAAACGGCGGCCGGCCCCGCGGCGCGGCTGCGGGAAGGCGGGATGGGCGTTTCCCCCAAGCCGCGCTGCTGGGCCCGCCGAGGGGGAGCTACCGTGCCTCGGAGCCGGAAGAATCGCCCGACGCTCCCACACCACAAACAAAAACTTTTCCCCTCACAAGTGCGAAACGGCCCTGAAACTTTTATTCCACAAACCCTCCCGCCGCGCCACCACACGCACACACGCACAATCCATGCCTCTCCCAGAGACGTCAGAGCCATTCCGTGAAATAACCACAGCTGCAAAACAAAATACAAACAGCCCACCTTCCCGCAGACAGGCCAAGAGGAAACACTGCAAACCCCAACCTCACATTCTAGTTCGCCCCAGTGCTTTAAAAGAAGAAAAAAAAAACACACACAAAAAAACAAGCAACCTGGCCGTCCGATGCATGCTGGGATGAGTAGTTCTCCTTCCCGCGAGTCTCGGGCTCAGCACCGAGCGAACCTGGGCCCCCACCTCCCACAGAGAACTACACTTCCCGTGCTGCCTCGCGGCGGAGGAGGGCGGGGCGAGAGGAGGTGCGTCGTGCCTGCGCAGGTCCCAGGGCTGGAGGGTGGCGGACGCGCTGCGGTCCAACTGCTGAAGTCTCCATGTGACAGCGAGCGGGCGCCCTCGTCCTCTCCCGGCGCCTCTCGCCGCCCGCCGCTCGGTGCCAGCCGCCAGCACTGCCCACTGCCTCGGTGTCGACCGAGACCCGCAGGTCGGGGACGACAGGGACGCTTGGGGTCGGGCCGTGCTGCCGTCGGACCTAGGGGTGCAGAGCGACTCGCCGCCGCCGCCGCC